TTGTCATACGTGACGTATTGACCCAAAACACGTGACGCATTGACCCCAAAACGTGACGTTTTTAACGTCCGTATTTTTGACACAAAATAAAGTCAACTGACCAAGGTCACTTGGTTCACCCTCACGCGGAAGAAGGACGAGGAATTTCTTTCACGCCATTTTGGGAAGGATCCCTTACAGATCCAGTTAACTTGTGACAATTCTTTTAGGTAAAATCAACACGCTGTCATTTTGCACTTTAGCGGCCTGCTATCATGACGACGTACAGGGTTACTCGGGAAGTACCACAAACATGTTCACCTAAAGCACCTGTCGCACATACACGAAGCCGGAGCACTAGGCAAACCCCGGCCCAAACCAATCTCCGCAATCCAAATCGTACATTGTGAAGGCCGATATGCTTCTTTACCACACAGCATCGATGAAATTATTAATGACTTCACAAAACATATTTGTGGGTAAACTACTTAAGATTCATGTACAAATTAATCATCAGCTTTATTGCCACCTTAAATGGAGAATTGTAGCTTCTAGTAACTTCTTCATAACCAGGCCAGTATTAACTTTTATTGCATGTCATTTTGCATGTATAGTATGCACTGTATCCATAGTGCACATAACATTTTTTTATACAAGTATTGTCGGGTCAGACACGTAGCCTTTCCTAACAAATTAAAGTACATACTATAGCGAAGGTAATTATCTAGATGTGGGGATATGGATGGTATTGTATTTGGCAATATACATGTCTGAAGAGCTAATTAGCATCTTATATTTGGCAACCAATCTGTCTGAAATTGCGCGGTCTTTCATATCTAAAGCTACTTAGGAACTTATGCGTTTTTTTAGGAAAAGCCTGCCCAGAGCTTCCATTTCCAAACAACGGCAACAGGACCGAGGGTCATCTTTACGGAGACACAGTCACCTTTTCCTGTGACGAAGGCTACGAACTGATCGGTTCTGAAAACAGAACTTGCCAGGCCGACCAGAGCTGGTCAGGTGTACAGACCAATTGCTCCAGTAAGTATTAGTACCCCCCCCCTCGACATTATGGTATTGTATCGGAATTGATTATCTGTTTGCAATGTTTTCATTAGCTAATACAGGTCATTAATAGTACTTAACGTATCATCTGTTTCCTGCTAATGCCCTAGATATCACAATGCTGGCGACAAAAATGACCATAAGCCAGGAAAATTAATTTACATGCTCTACTACTTGTAGTAATATGTGGTATTCTTATTGTCCCATAAACGATATTAATTTTCTGACATAGTTTCTTAACTGTGTTACAGGAAAGCTCTGCCAACAACTGATGGCACCTTCTAATGGCAACATCAGCGGCGGTAGTTCTTATGAGGACGTCGTTGCTTATCACTGTGACCCTGGATACGAGATCAGTGGTGATGAAGAACGAACATGCCAGTCGAACCAGACCTGGAGCGGTACACAGCCTACATGCGTTGGTTAGTTGCTATTTTGTCTTGGCTAAGTTTTTACATTTCTTTACATTCTCCAAGGTCGGTCAGTATAGCAGACCTTCAATATTAACTTCACTTCTTCCGTACATAGAGTTATTTGCTATGCACGGATCAACAAGATTTGCAACGCACCAGTAACGCTTTCTTGCGATGACGATGATGATGGCTGGGTCTTCAGGTCCAAAGATATAGATCTAGAAATGCCTGTCCTCACGTGGCTGTGCAGTCCTATTCTAGATCTGCACGTTAACTTTTTTTGCTGCAGGATGGGCATGCGAAGCACCATGCGGATGGCCATGCATGCATTGCACGATCAAAAGGACAAAACTGAAATCTGTGTCTAGTTTGCTAAACATCATCCACACACCCTCCCTTTATGCCACTCGTGCCCTAATCATGGTTTCATGTATGCGATTAATTTCAAGGAATGATATATCTCCAACTTCTTTCCTTGTGATCAATTCTCTTTGACAGATTGCGTTCCTGACATCAGCCTGTATGGAGGAGGAAACAGTGAATCTTCAGCAGTGAAGATCACGCGGCGGACAGCCTTCACCATACGGAGCCGCATCAACGTCATCTGCAGTCAGACATACAGCGTCACGTATGAGTGGAACGTTTTTCAACATGACCCAATGGGTAATGTAACACAGCCACTGGACTTTCCTCACAAAGTCGTGCGTGATTCGCAAGACATCACAATTCCGAGAAACAGCTTGGGCTATGGCGCCACGATTGTTGAGCTGAACGCTACCATGGACTTCCCGACTACTGGAAGCAAAAAGTCACAGGTCCAAAAACAGTGGGTCATCATCACACCATCGGCCCCAGTTGCGCATATAGCCGGTGGCTCTGCTAAATCTGTCAGTCGGAATGGTGTTCTGGTACTGAACGCATCAGAGTCGTATGATCCGGATGAATACATCGACGACTACAGGAACTTCAATTTTCACTGGACCTGTCAGACGCCTAATGGTAAGTCTCTCATTGTGACTCTTAAATCATTAAGGCACGGTTAAGTAAAGATTTGAACTGAAGATCGGAACCATTTCTTCTGATATGAGCGGTTAACATTGACTTGACATTAACTTAACGTGTCAACTTTGATTGATATTATATGGCAGCCATGATCGGTAGCGGTATCCGGAATAGACGTACTAAAATAAGGTAGCACTAAAACTCGATAACTGTTTTTGCAGGGACATCATGCAACGACATATTCCCTGATGCCAGACAAAGTGCCGTCAAACTTCAGACTGCGTCATTTCCTGATGACATCTTGACATTCACGGTGGAGGTCGGCCTTCCCGGGAGGAACTCCTCACAAACCTCACAGTCAGTCACCCTACTAGACGGGGTTGTCCTCAACATCGCCATTCGGTAAGACGTGCTTTCTGCATTATAGAGCTAAGGCGTGCTTCTTCTTAATTGGCTTCTTATCGCCCAAAAGCTTTGAGGTGAGAAGATATGCAGCTGACCATCTCACAGGGAGTGTACATTAATTCATTAATTCTTTATTTCAGGTATGGGAAACCCATAAAAAGACAATGCATATTAAAAGAATACGTGCTACATATACACAGAAATGGACTGATAATAAATGATGTGTGACCGCCAGTGTTTTTAGGGGTACTTTTTGGTAATCCCGTAGGTGTGCGGCAAACTGCGAAACCAAAGTCAACCCATCAGAGAGGCTAGTTCTCGTGACCCAGTGTGACGACTGCCCGACAGCAAGCACCACATACCTGTGGACCCTGGTGGGAGGAAAGCACATTGACTGGGATGTGGACACGACAACCGGAAACTCGTCACAGAACCTAGTGGTTCGCAGTAACATTTTTGAGGTAAATTCCGATATGCATTCATAAACATTAACATTATCCTTACTCAACTAGAACTAGTACTAGTATTAGTACATTCATTCATTCATTCATTCATTCATTCATTCATTCATTCATTCATTCATTCATTCATTCATTCATTCATTCATTCATTCATTCATTCATTCATTCATTCATTCATTCATTCATTCATTCATTCATTCATTCATTCAGTACATGATCAGTACAAGTCACGGCTAAGAGATAGTATAATCTAGACTATTTTGATTTAACTATCTTGTCTATTTCCAGGCAGGAGAAAGCTACACCTTCAGGGTAGATGTGACTTCCGACGTCGCGCCTGGGGGAACCGGTTTTTCTGAGTACAGTTTCAGGGTCAACAAACCCCCTACTGTGGGGTCCTGTGCGGTCAGTCCTTCGTCAGGTGATTCAACGATAACGCCGTTTGACATCTCGTGCGAAGGTAAATCATAGCCCAAAAAGTTCAGCACAAATTATTTTGGTATTTAAGTATTCTGAAATGGTGCATATACACAATACTATCAATACAGGTTGCGATTGGTTTCCTCCTCAGGAGCCCGTGATGATGACTTGCCTCTGGTCTACAGTCTTTATTTTAACAACGATGAGAGTGACACATTGCTCCATACGGGAACGGTAGATAACCACGTCTTTTTATGTAGTGTAGACTAGCCCTTCGTTTACGTTTTCCGGGTGCTATATTATTCATTCGTCATTCGTGTATTCATTTACCATAAACTGTTACGTAGCAATATTGTTCAGCTTAACATTTCTGGCCTTACCTTCGAACGTAGAACCTGCCGTAATCTTAACTGTAATGGTTCGCAACCCGACAATAATGCTTCAGTTGTTTCCGTATTTTGACGTTTACTACCAATGGTAGCCATGCACTATGTTGTTTCAAAACCTAGTTTTTTTTTTGTAAGTGTGGCATTTAAGAGTGAGAACAAGCGGATAGGATAGGCAGCTATCCTTTTTTTGTCTAAATGTAATTGAGTATCTTTGACGAATTCTCTACTTCCACCGCAGACCGAGCGATTTCCACCCCAGCTGCTTCCAACAGGACAGGAACATCGCGACTTCAACATCACACTAGAAGTTCGTGTATCGGATGCTTTGGGTGCAACATCAGTTATCAGAAATATCAAAGTACAGGTAAAGTTGAAGCTGTGATGTTAAGATGATGTGATGTGAGATTTATGTGCAAGTTTATTCCGAATGTCAACCATTCAAGGGTAATTTCTAATAGGAGAGTTTTGTTATGAAGACGAGTGTAACTTCTCTTCAACTAAAAAGAGTGGACTCGACACAATTGCGTCAGATTTTTTTGGTTTTTGTTTAATTTCGTTGTAAAAGTAGCGATACAACAATTTAAGTCGACTGATTATGGCTGAAGCTCGACCTGAATTTATATACAGTGATCACAGAGCTTTAAAAAGTGTTGAAACATTTACATCTTACGCGCCCAAAACATTTTTTTTCATATTTCTGTTGTAAGGTCCGTCCACCGAGTGTGGAAGATACGGCAGTGGCACTGGACAGCCTTAACGATACGCTGGAGAACCTACTTCACAAAGGGGACAACCACGGCCTCCTGCAGCTCACCAACAGTCTTAGTTCTGTCCTCAACGCAGCGAACGCGTCCAGCTACAGCAACGATTCACTTTCAAAGGTACTCTGAAAATGAAGTTTATTGTTACAGACCTGTCCACCATCAGATGCCCCTTATGAAGGGGGTGTTTCAGATAGTAAAATCGCCGAAGTAATATTTGTTGGTACCGGGTATTGAAACTTGTCACTTGCCAGTTTTCATACTATGCGATGGTTGATTAGAACAATATAAAGCCTGAAGTTCATTAAGCCACTTATGTAGCACCCCCTTTTCTTGTTTAGAAGAATGATTGCTCAGCTTGTACTGTTTCACTCTATTCCTATTTTCCATACTTGTCAGGCACGTGACGGGCTCATTAACTCACTGACAAGGATTCCAGTTCAGAGTCTGGACAACATCGACCAGGTGGCAGGTGCCTTGGGCCTGGCAACGGCTTTAGAGGAGCAGGTCACTCCACAGTCTCAGGTTTGTGTTTACCTACACAACTCCAACTCATCCATAGTATGAGTGTGTTTAGTCAAACCCGTCCATAGTGACCACTTAAGGGGCTTGCGGAAAATCGTCACAAAAGACAGGATTTCACCATAAACAGGATGCGTAATGCTTGAGCCAATGGATCTACGATCTAAGCGACCGCGATGGCCAGGTTGCCCTTATGCAGATTTTGTTGGACTGTGCAACTGCTGCTTACATATATTTACAATTATAATGTAAATATCATTACAACCCTCCAGAAAGTTTCGTGTACAGATCTGATGTGAATCGGGTGCAATTTCATTGCTATTTTTTAGGAGAGTGCAGCTCAAACTGTGCTGCGGATGTCAAACTTTCTTGAAACACCAGGAAAGGAAGATGTAGGTCCCGAAAGACTGGAGGAAACGGCATCGGTACTTTTGAGAGGTAAGCGCACGTTACTTTGCTCTTATCTTCAAATCGGCAATTTGGTATTAACGTGTTATTTAGGTACGGTCTGCACACACACACACACACACACACATATATATATATATATATATATTGCTCACAGATGAGCTATCTATTTTGTTCGACCCAACAGCTTGTGTGAACTTACTTCAAGCTTCAACAGCCTCGGCTACAAAGAGCAAAGAGCTGCCATCATCTGAAACAAGAGACCTCCTCTTAGACAAGGTGGGAACAACTTCCATTATACTATCAAATTACGTTTTGGTTTCTTGTTGCTTTTTATTCACCACCAAGAAACACGGCATATTTAGAGTTCAGTGTTGGTAGTAATTCAAAGAAGCTGCTGTCTGGATACCGACAGGAACTTTTTTATTCGTTATTAGGCCATGTTGATTTGATTATATGGATGACATCCTCCGGGAGCCCGAAAACTGATGCGCGCGTGCGAATAAAAAAAAGTTTTGCAAAAAGTTTTTTTCATTATGAAATCTATGTGGTCATGAGGGTTGAGCAAATGGCACAGAATATGGTTTGGCGAATAATCTAGTCTTCAAGTTCATTTCTTTACAATTTCGTCTTTTTCGTTTGATTTTGGCATTCTACGACATTGGTATAGTTTTTATCAATTTTTTTGTAACTTATGGTATATTTTTGCTCATTTTGCAACTGTTTTGTACGATTTACAGCATGGTTGAAAACTTTTTTTTGGGAACGGCCGAAAATTCATGCGCGCGCGGATGTCATCCATAAAATCAAATCAACATGGCCTTACATATTGGAAAAAAATTGCCAACATTCAAGGAGCGCCGCATCTTCACAACTTTAATTTGCATACACTTCGGTTACAGAACAAAATTGCAACACAGACAACTTTTGTTGCAATCGGGAAGCTGAACGCTGCTGTACTAGACCAGAAAGTCCCGGGGGAGAGCCCGACGACGTTCTCTGTAGGTGAATTTAACTTGGCCGTTGAAAACAGCGGTGTGATTCTACAAACGGGCAACCGCACGTTTTCCGGGCAAATAACCAACTGGGAAGCTCTACGTTTTTCGTGGTATCCAGCTTGTCAGGGTTGCTTGGGGATAGCTGTGAAACAGAGGAAGAC